AGCTACGCTTCATTGTCTAATGCACACTGTACTTTCGGCACTTAAGTGTCAGACCTGCCTGGTGTACCTTGATGACATGATTGTCTTTTCTGTGATGTTCGAGGAGCCCGTACGAAGGGTCGAAACAGTTTTTGACACAATATGTTTGGCCCGCCTTGCACTGAAGCTCAAAAAATGTCACTTTGGCTTCCATGAACTTCAATTCTTCACTCATGTGTTCAGCAGCCAAAGGATTTGACCTGATCTGAAGAAACTTGCTGCCGTGACCAATTACGCAACCCTGTCAGATAAAAAAAAAAATGCCAGGCCTGCGCGGAACGCACAGCACAGTCACAGCGAAAGCTAGAAGAGCAACCTTTCAAAACCTTTTCTAAACACTCACTGTGTAACTTCTACAAGCACACAGCTGGGTACACACTATACCATAAATAGTAATAATTTTTGTCTAGTAGGCTATTTTTTCATGCATTACATGGCCATTTACCCAGTTCGGTAGCAAAGATATCCCCTTTGCATGGAGCTAAAACCAACAACGGCATTTCACAAGCTTCGTCGGCTCACGCAAACTCCTCTTGTTCTTGCCTACTTCGATGAAGACGCGCCGACCACATTGCACACAGATGCTAGTAATGTGGGTTTCAGAGCAGTACTTGTACATTGGCAGGATAACAGCGGAAAGGTCATTGCTTATGCCAGTAGGACGCTGTCCCGAACGGAAGCAAACTACACCACAACCGAGAAAGAATGTCTTGCAATCGTATGGGCAGTCCTCAAATATCGCCCGTAATTGTACAGTTCCTCATTAAATATTATCAGCAATCACCATTCACCCTGCTGGTTAATTAATTTGGAAGATTCATCCGGGCATCTCGCATGGTGAAGTCTTTGGCGTCAAGAGTTTGATTTCAATATTGCCTACGAATCGGGTAGACGACACGCTGATGCCGACTCTCTCATTCTCCCATTGAAGCTGCAGACCCTGACAACGACATGGCCTTTTTAGAGGTTGTGGACACTGTCGCTTTTCAGACCAGCAGCGGGACGATGCTGAACAGCAACTGCTGATTCATTACCTTGAAGGACAAACCAATAACGTGCCGAAATTATTTGCAAGAGGGCTAGCGTCATACTACTTTCGCCATGACGTACTTTACAAGGAGAACTTCTCGCCTAGTGGCAGCAGCTCCTTTCTTGTTGTCCCCCCACCGCTTCGACGTGAAGTTCTCTATGCCTGCTACACCGAGCCGCCCGCCGGTCATTTGAGCTACACCCGGACTTTGGCAAGGATTTGGCAGAACTATTGCTGGTGGAAACTTGCTACAGTCGTGAAAACTTGCGTGGAGACGTGCTTGGACTGCCAGGGCTGCAAGTGACCACTCGCTAAGCCAGCTGGCCTGTCGCAACCCGTTCAAGTGTCGACAGCTCCATTTGCACAAATTGGCATAGGTTTTCTAGGTCCCTTTCCAACGTCTACCACCGGAAAAGGTAGATAATCGTCACTATTAGTTGCCTCACCCGATACGCCATGACAGGAGCTCTGCCACGGGCAAGAGCACCTAATGTGGCCCGATTCTTTATTGAAGACATTGTTTTAAGGCATCGCTCCTGTAGTAATTATTACGACAGAGGTACTGCGTTCATGGCCGAGCTCTTGAACATCGTTTTGCGACTTAAGTGGTACCGCTGACAAGAAGACAACAGCATACCTTCCCCATACCAACGAGCTGATTGAACGTCTCAAGAGGACTCTGGCTGCCATGATCAGCCTGTACGTAGATGTAGAATACAGGAACTGGGATAACATTATACCCTACGTCACATTCATGTACAACACTGCACGTCAGGAGACCGCTCAGAAGATGCCATTCAGTCTAGTTTACTGCTATGACGTTACAGCAGCGTTAGATTCCATGCTCACCCATGAAAACGATCCCCATGAGATGTAAGCTTAAGTTTGCTAGAGCTAGAAGTGGAAGCTCGGCAGCTTGCCTGATTGCGAATAATTTAACTATAAGTAAAATAAATAAGTAAGTAGGGCTATGACGCCCAGCACTATAATCTCCGGCACAGACCCGTTATATACAACGTAGGCAACAAAGTGTGGGTCTCGACACCTATTCATCATTGTGGTCTCTTTAAAAAATTGTTGCGAAAATACTTCGGAGCTTACAGTGTTCTTCAATGCATCAGTGAGGCTAATCGCAAGGTTGTTTCCAAAAGCCCTCAGTGTTCAAAGCGCCGAATACATTCGCCAGAAATTGTTTAGTGCTTTGGATGAAGCCATACCTTCAGAAACAATAGTTTTTTCTGCTTTGTGAATCTGCATCATCGTGACGGTGTTCATTCTGGAAGGGGCAATAATGCCGTGCATATGTGCCAGTGGCGAAGACAAAGAAGCAGCGTGTGAACACTTGGCCAGAACAAAGATGAAGAAGACTTGGTTGCCCTTTTGCAGAGTTTGTTAAAGACTATTTTTTTGTCGTCCTCTGTTTGAAGGTCGATCCCGCGTGGTTACATCTGCCACTAAGAAGATGGAGCGGTTCAGCAAAAATGAGCAAAAAATGAGAAACCAGACAAAGGACACATACACAGCACTGACTTAAAACAACAGTTTATTCTTCAAGCCACGCATGTATACTTATGCATTGAAACGAAAAAAGAAGCAAAAGTGATAGTCGAGATTAGTGAAGTGCATGCAGTTAACCTGGTAAAAAGACATTTTCATTTTTTATGAGGGCTACTGAAGGCCTACTCACGCATGTGTCACCCAGCCTAGCTATATCCAGGGCCTCCGGTACTTCATGGGTAAGCTGGTTTCAATGACGCTTCACAATCTCACATAGCTAAAAATCAGGAACACACCGACATCCTCGGCAATCAATGCCTAGGGGGCTAGACATCGTCGAGGAAACGCTGTAGGCGTGTCTCATGAAACGCTTATTCAAACAATGGCTGATTCGGCCTATGTATTGTTTGCTGCAGGACAGTGATAAGGAATACACCACACCTTGCACGCATAGAACAAACTTATTCCGAATGCTTAGTCGGGCAGGTAGTGGTCTTCCTAGCTCCTGGGCTGATGGCCCTACTGATGGCCAGGTTCTCAAGGGTAGAAAAAACATTGACTTCACATCTGCCAGCTATCCTTTTTAGGTAATAGGCCACACCGTGGATATAAGAAATCTCAACATGCTTAATATTTTGCAATCTACTTTCACAAGTCTGAAGGATTTCATGCACGCTTTGCAGAACTAATGCTCCTGTAAGATCCAGGCTAGTTTTAATACGCAGGTTGAATGCCCGTGTCACGTGATGACAGCTGTGGCTGAACGTTTCTTCAAGGAACAAAAAATGAGCAAACTGTTGCCTGCTCAGACTCGTGAAAGTAGACTGCAAAATAACAAGTATGTTGTCATTTCTTACATTCATGGCGTAGCCCATAACCTAAAGAGGATAGCCGGCAGATGTGACGCCGATGTTGTTTTAGGGGCGAACCTCCTCTTAGTCTAACCTTGTCCTGCATCAGGCGTAATCGGCCAGACAGACTAACAGACGGATGGTCAGACAGACAGAGGGACAAGCAGACAGACAAATGGACAGAAAGACGGACGCTGCGCCCCATTTATCATCATTCAGTCCATTAATATGCTGTGATTTTTTTCTGCTTTTGAGAAGCTGGATAAGCCGCGTACAGCCGTCGACCGAGTAACTAGGGAGACCATCACCTACCTGATTAAGCATCGGAATAAGTTTGTTCCATGCATTCAAGGTGTGGTGTATTCCCCGCCATTGCCCCGACGCCAATGGTACATAGGCCAAACTGGCCACTGTTTGAGCATCTCAAGGAACATGGTTACAGCGTTTTCTTGACCGTGTCTGGCCACCTAGGCATTTTTCGCCAAGTTTGTGGGTGTGTCTCTGATTTTTTATTAAGCGTCATTGGGACCAGCTTACCCACGAAATACTGGAGGCTCTGGAGATAGCTAGGCTAGGTGACGTATGTGTGAATAGGCCTTAAGTTGCCCTCGCAGAAAAGGAAGGCGTCTTTCTATCAAGTTGATCGCACTCACTGTTACAATGCTTTTTATGATGTTTGTTTTTCATTTATCTTCGACTATCACTTTGGTTCTTCTTTTTTCATTTCATTGTATATGTATATATGTCTGGTTTCAACATTAAACTTTTGTTGTAAGTCAGTAATCTGTATGTGTCCTGTGTATGGTTCCTCGTTTCTTTTGCTGTTTTTTTCCAAAACAACTTGATGAAAAGTTGTTGAGAGCAACTAGAAATAGACCCTTTAAAAAAATTCAGTCTCAGCGACGCCAATGAGCGTTCCTTCCACTGCACACGAACACCACTTGCGTTCCTGCAGGACGTGTACCGCGTTTGGACGGTATGCCAATGAGCGTCCTGTGAATGAAAGACATGGCAGAAAAAAATGTTTCCGGTTTCGTTCGGTTGGTGGCGCTGAATTTTGAAAAAGGTCTATTATATTCAGTATACTGACTTGAACATGTGCAAGTTATCAGAGCTATTATCGCAAGAACACTGTCCTTGCATATAAATAACCAATCTGCAGAGCCTAAGTGTATTCATACCTTGACATTGAGTCTTACAGATAAGTAAGGCTCAGCAGCATTTGTTACCAAAATGCAGAAACAACACTGGCTCATTACATAGCTTAACAAATTGTAAATAATGGGCTATATCACAATGTTCTCCTATGTGCGGTCTATGTGCGAATGCTAGAAATGACCCTGGCTAAATTGTTGAAATGATTTATGGATTTTGGTAGAGCTCGCTATGTTCTCATTCATATATGTGCTAAGAATTTTAATGCACATTGGCTAACGCATCTATGGTTTACATGATTATAGTAAAATAACAAGCACCTTATTCAGCTCTTTCCACTGACTGATGAAAATGAGTTTTGTTCATGGGGACCGCACTTATTTTCATATATTGCTGGTGTTGTGAGTTATTGCGCTTCCTTTTTGCAGGAGCTGGGAACCACGTCTACTTTGTCAACTATTTAATCTTCCTTCTGGCCATGCTGGGATGGTCGTGGTACGGTTGCTTCGCATGTAAGCTCCTGCAAGTTTTTTGACATTCTTGAACATACAGTTTGATAATGCGCTGCTTACAACAAGAAGGCCCCCTTTTTTTAGCTATCAGAAGCCTTGTTGCAAGTATTGCAAAAACTGCGCCTGGCGTAGCACACTGATACAGTAGTTGCATCTATTATGTGTAATAGCTTCCCTGTCATTACTGAATCTTCTAAATAGTTTCACAGTCAACAACCTGTAACATCTGATATCGCCCATTACAAGGCTAAGGCTGCTGGACACAGCTTTACGTTTTAACAGATACCTGGCCATTCTGGTATTTCGGGAAATGAAAAAGCTGATAAAGCTGCCTGAAATAGACTACAATTCAGGAATTTCAGAAGGATACTTTTTACGAAAGCCGACGCTTCGAACATCACGAAAAGATATGCCTACCAAGAAAAAGACTACCTTTGGAATTTGCCACTTTACAAAGACAGCTTTCTTTATTGTATTGACCGGAAACTAAGTGCGGAATTCTCTTACTCATTGCCTCGCCACCTAGAGACATTACATCATCGTCTTGACTGAACGTGCATACATGAACAGTTACATGTACCGCGTAGGGCGTACATGTTGTGATAAATATTGTGATAAATGGGGCAGCATAGAGACAGTGCAGCAGATATTGCTAGAACGCCCCACGTTCTGCGATGAGAAGCAACAGTTCGAACAAGAAATGGACATGATCTTCCACGAAAAATTAACGTTCTGCAACATACTAGGTGCACCTTCTAAACTTTGTCGGGTCATACTGTCATTGATCAATTACATACCCGATATTGGCCTTGTCAGAAGGCTGTAATAATACGACATCTCACATAGGAAAGCCTTGATTTACCTGATACCCTATTGTAAATAGTTTAATCCGGTTCCCCGGTCACAACTAAGTTTTTTGTATTTTTCTTTTCTCTCTGCTAAAATCTTTCAGTCTTCTTCCCCATCCCTATACAAAAGGGTAGCATGCCAGTGATATACAGACGCCGGCAAAATCTGTTTCTCCTTTTAATGAATCTCTCCCTTAAACCTCAATGTAGTAATATCGAAATCTTGGTTGTGATGGGAACACAGTGATACATTCAGCAAAAGCATTATCTTCTTCATCTCAACCACATCACCGTTTGCAGATGATGCCCACTTAGAAAGTCTAGAGCAGCGGCCATAGCTCATGGCACTAGAGATTACATGTTTTTTATTTATACATATTTATACATATACCTACAGCGCCCTCTGGGGGCATTGTTGTAGGGGGTTTACAAATTCAAAGTACATTTAAATCAGTGGGAACAAGTTGAATTGCACGGCACTCAAAAAATAAAAACAAATCAAAAACACCTAAATCACAGCATACAATATCGTTATGTGACCACATACTCCTTTAAAAGAGAAGGAAACGCTGTGGAAGGGGCGGTCACAATGTTTTTTGGAAGACCGTGTCATTCGTGAATAGTTTTAGGAAAAAAAGTATTTGCATACGTTGATGTTCGGCACATATATTCACACACTTTCAAAGGATGGTCCCGTCGTGATGAGATGTATGTTGGCGGTCTGATGTATTTGCCTTTATCGATCCCAGTTTTGTCGTTTATTAGGTTGTAGAAAAGACCTAGCCTGATATATTTACGCCTAGAGGAGAGTAACGGCCAACCAAGTGAACTAACAATTTCGCTAGACCTTCTGGTGAAGTCGTAATCGCCCGTCACAAACCGGGCGGCCCGTTTCTGAATGGGCTCCAATGCACCAATATTTAACTTTGCGGCCGGGTCCCAGGCAGTGCAAGCATATTCTAAAATCGGGCTTACATTTGACACGTAAAGAACTTGTTTAAGAACAGAGGGGGCGGTTCTGAAATTGCGGCGTGGGAAGTTCAGCACGCGACTGGCTTTAACTGATACCATGCGAACATGATCATTCCACGATAGTGTGCTGTTGATGACAACGCCAAGATACTTGTACTCATTTACCATGAATAATGGTATCCTTTTCATGAACTAATTTGTGATAAAAGGCTGCTTTTTCTTGGTAAACCTAATGACACAGCACTTTGACACGTTAAGCTGCATTTTTTACGTACTGCACCATGCTATTTTACTGAGTCAAGGTCTTTCTGCAATTGTTCGGAATCTTGAGTGCACTTAATTTCACGATATATGCAGCAGTCATCTGCGTACAACCTCACGCATTCAGCAAGATCATTGATATAAATCAAAAAGAGGAGCGGCCCCTGGACGGAGTCTTGTGGCACTCCTGAAATGACGTCTACATGTGACGACGACATGCTATCGATGATGGTGCATTGTTTCCTGCATGAGAGATAAGCTTGTACTTATGCCATTGTGTTAGCAGATATATTGAGACACGATAATTTCAGTAAAAGGAGCGAGTGTGTAACAGTGTCAAAAGCCTTGCTAAAGTATAAAAAAATGCAATCAATTTGGCTACCGGAATTTAACGTTGCGGCGATGTCATGTGTAAATTCTACGAGTTGCGTATCGCAGGAAAACCCTTTCCGGAAACCGTGCTGTGTTGGACAGAAAAAATTTTTAGTCTGAAGATGCTTTGCCAAGTTCGAATATATAACATGCTCAAGTGTCTTACAGGACACACACGTTACTGAAATGGGCCGATAGTTGCAAGTACTTGACTTGTCACCACTGTTGAAAATAGGAATTACATTTGCTCGTTTCCAGTCATCAGGTAATGCCCCCTGCAATAAAGAATTTCTGAACACAGCTGTAAGAAATGGGCTTACTGAAAGGGCACAGTTCTTTAAAATGAAGTTTGAGATTTGATCTGGCCCTGATGCCGAGTTTTTACTAAGGTTTTTTGAAAGAGATGCAACACCTTGTTTTGAAATTTCAAACTCTGCCATTTCCGATAACGTTACTGTGTTGCACATTGTAGTTTGAACCGCTGACGGACCAAAAACACGGACTGAAAGTACCGGTTAAAGCATTCAGCTTTACCTGTACTGTCCGACAAGTATTTAGTACCATTGTTTATATCAGGAATACCACCAGGAACCTTTGTCTTTCTTTTAACATATTTCCAGACGAGTTTTGGGTTAGTTTTCATCTTAATACTCAGATCACTCAAGTATGCTCTCTCTGCTTTCCTCAGATCTTTGGTTATCTTCTTACCAAGTAGTTTCATCTGTTTGTATGTTTCAAGGTCTGACGTGGGACAATATTTGCGATAGAGACAATCTCTTTTGTTTATGAGCACTCGGAGTTCCTTATTTAGCCATGGTTTATCATTTCGTTGTTTGGCTGATATGACTCGCGATGGTACAAAAGTTTGAGTTACAGATAACAGTTTTGTTTTCAGCTTATTCCACAAGTCATTCACGTCAGAACACGAGCATAGTTCTTGAAACTCAGGTAAATAAGCGTCTAGTTTTGTTGAAATAGAAGCGTAATCTCCTTTTTCATATAAAAACACCTTTCCAGGCCCCGAAGCTCATTGTTGAGCTACAGCTAAGCACATTTTAACAAGGACAACTTCGTGATCACTAATACCTGGTACTGTAACAACAGAGGAAGCAAGCGTTTGATCATTGCAAAAAAAACAGGTCCAATACGTTTGCACTAGTATTGCACACCCTCGTGGGGGCTGTCAGAAGCTGGTATAACTGATGGGCATTCACGATTTCTTGAATAGCTCTATGTAGCAGTGACTCACTGTGAATTATCAGTTTGAAAGAGGACCATGCAACATCAGGTAGGTTAAAATCACCAGCAACCATTATGTATGTTGTATTTAGAATTGACAAAATATTCCTTAAAGTAAATAAAGGTTCGGGTGTTGTGTTACTAGGGGGCCTGTAGAAGGAACCAACAGCCACAGTTGAGCAACCACTCAGCATAACTTTACACCCCACAGACTCACACAAGTCACTAACACCATGAATAGGAACGCTACTGATACTGTTATGGATCATTAGGAATACACCACCTCCGTGCGCCATGCGGTCCCTTCGGTATACTGCATAAGTCGACGGGAAGAATTCATGATCTGCGATGGTGGTATCGAGCCAGGATTCCGTGCCAAAAACTATTTGTGGTTTAGTCATGTCTAATAACGAAAGAAATTCTGTTCTTTTGTTTTTCAAACTGCGACAGTTAACTACGATGCACGTTAGTTCATTTTTTCTCAATTTTTTTGTCAGTAAAATGGCATTTCGAGGTGATTGCTATCTACGACTAGGCACAACTCTATCTTCAGCACTGTTATACAGGAATGTTTGGTCATTCATGTATATCGGCCTAATCGGCCGCCGAATATCGGCCTAATCTGTGACTTCGTTCAATGGCGTCAGGGGCAATTTTGAGCTGTAAGTCACTAGAACAAAACGAAATAACTTTTTCCTCTGATTGTGCCCATGTTTCATTCTCATTATCTGGGAAACCATAAAATACCAGGTTATTTCGACGATTCCTACTTTCGAGGTCGTCCTGGCAATCTTTCATAGCCTGACACGCACGCGCAAGCACTCCACATTGAGCTGCAAGTTGCTCAAGATCTTTTTTGCCCGTGTTACCTAGGGGGGTGTTATTTTCTACACGGGTTAATCTATCATTTACATCTGCCACTCGCTTCTCAAGCGCATGTTGCTCTTTTCGCACTGAATGTATTTCTTCTGTTATTTTTTGTTGAAACGCTTCGTGGTTAGCTCGGATAGAGCTAAGTTTATCAAGAATGGCAGACTGAGAGATCTTGCTTTGAAGGTAATGTCATGATGGTGTCGAACATCTGCTTTTCCTGTTGCGGTGTTAGAGGGCCTGGGTTTTGCTCTATATCCCCAGATAACAGCAAAATCATTTTCATCATATGACCACACGTGACAGCATCAGCGTGCAAGGCCGACAAGTAGCAAAGCACCAAACAAAGAACAGCAGTGGGATCTGGCGCCGGTTTCTTTAATGGCCTACCGTATACAGGGAGGTAAAAGTAACTAACTTGAAGAAATACTCGACGTA